ACCAGAATGGTGATAAATGTGGCAGAGATGCACGCAAGAACTAACCGTAGAAGATGCTATTTAAAATGATACAAAATAGCTAGAGAAACATACAGCGTAAACAAGATTGGCTTAAAACTCAGCCAAAGCACATAACTTAATCAAATGCATAATGCACAAAATGCAACTAAAACGCTTCAAAATTGGAGCGAAGCCACATTTCCAGCGATATTTACTATAAACGTAGACTTGTCCTGATTTGTAAGCATGCCATCCCATAGCACCGGTTTGGTCAGGATGCGCAAAAATATGGATGCGTCCACTGGGAGCTGAATGCGTCACTGATTTTGACGCTTGCGCAGCAATGATAACATCTTACTTTTCAAGTGAAACGGAGCTGACTGTTGGTCAGATAACAGCGTGTTAACTAGGGCGACAAAGCTTTGCTAACGTAGCTTCCGAGTAATTTCTTTTCTGCTGATAAATTGGCCTTTCCGACCCGATGGCGACTAGAGTTTTGGCACTTTGAATCACTTAAATCACTCATATCAATGATAAGCAGCAAAAATTAGGTTTTTTTTTGAATTTATCCTCTTTATTCTCTTTCTGAAATTTTATAAAAATCGAATTTCTAGGCCGGTCAAAATCATTTAGATTACTGAGATGCAACCGTGCGCTGAACGCCTCATTGTCAGACCCTCGTATCCCGGGCTGCCTCTTCCACTCGTTATTCTTCGCCGCTGCGTTCGGTGCATTGATTAATTTTTCGCGTGATGCCCAAAAAGTTCTTTTTTTCGTCTTGTTTGTATCATTTGTTAATTACGCGATGTCAGTCGGCTGCTGGGCCAAGCGCATAACAACGTTTCTCTTGCAAAAGGCCACCTTTTTTGTGACCGAGACTATAACCCGTATCCCTATCGCTGGAGCAGTCCTAAATGTCGAGTTAAAGGATTAAAATATTTTTAGATTTTTATAACATTTTGCTGGGCTGCTGAGGCAGTTTGGTTATGCATTTCCTATCCATAGGTTTCGTGCCAGTGCGATGATAAATGAGCCAGTCATGGAGCCACCGCCTTCTTTTTTAAGAAATCTGTTGAGGACTATTGACAGCTGTTGTACAAGGAATGCTATTCGTAGCGAAGCCACGGTTATATACCTTGGTAACTCTTAAGAACAGGGGGAGGTAGTCTGAGTTTCGAAATGGCACAGCAGACACAAAAGATCACAAAATACATCCTGATGTTGTTGGCAGAAAGCGGATCCAGAGGTTTTGACGAAGCCAGAGAAGTCTGACGAGTTGTTAGAGCTAGGGGAGAAGGTGATAAAGAAGGAGCCAGCGGTAAATGCTGGTCAGAAATGAGCAGGAAGCTGTCCTGTTAGTGAGGAAGTAAGCAAGCAAACGGGGTCATATTGGTGGATCGGTTGTGCTGATTGTCGTTTTTGATGATTATCTTTGGGAGAGGGTATGGATGAAGGGGTGGACAGTGTGGGCGGCGTGAAGTTGAGTTTGACAGCTACATGTAACAACATACGTCCCTTTGATCGAGAACAGGATTTCTTCAGTCAGCTCCGAAAATAATGGGTGATGCATGTAAATGTTGAGTGGTAGTTGCGGCATTGTTCTTTCTTCGGCTCAGTTCTAACTCGAAACACCTGCAAGAACATCTGAATGGCTGGCTGGTCTCAGCTATGGCCCATCTTACGGCACTGTCATTTTTAGACATTCTCAACAGCTGACCCTCTCGCTCTAGCAGAAGTATTACCCTTCCCTCACTTTCACCGGTCAAGCTGTTAAGTTAGTTCATGAAAAATAGGTCTGAAGGGCACGCGAGTATAGCTGGATCGCTCATGGCGCAAAGCAGTGCAGTACGGTGGACGGTTCACCTCAGTCCTGGATGCACTCACGTTCTTACCAGGTGAAGGAGAGGCGCTGTGAGCTGTAGAGCTGGTACAAGGGAGTTCCAGAGTGCGACTGAGCCCGTCCGGAAAGTTTTTGGTGAGCAGTGACCAATGCGCCCCGCCTCGTTTTGTCTTCCAAAATTCCCGAACTTTTGAAGTGTAGGAATTTCGGTGCCACTTATGCTGATGAATTTCTACAGCACAACCTCGACAGCGAAGTTCCAAGGATTATTTAGCTTTCCAGGCCAACTGAACTGCCAGCCACTGAAGGCAATCCGGCATATGGGGAAGCTGTTCAAGTAGCTCTCGTGAAGGAATCGAACCCATGACGCAAAGGTCCAAATCCGCGTACCGCACAACTTAGCTAGCGCATAAACTGATATGTCCGCTTGTTTTGCATATTTGTGTGAACTTACGGTCACCACAGCTGCGGTTGCTGAAGGGCAAGGGTATTTTTCGGGCTTTCGGTATTAAAGAACACGGTTGTTTCGAAAAAGAAATGCCATTTAAGGGGTATATCTCAAATCTTGCAGCATGCTAAAAGGGAGAATATAGATGACCACTAGACTGGAAATGCCATGCTTCATCGTGTTAAAACAAAGTGGCTGTCTCGCACCAGCGCAATTGGTGGGATTATGCGTTTTGCGCAGTTCTATCTAGCGAACGCTTCCTGTTAAATAAGTTCATTGCCTTGTTGCTTGACATGTGCAGAAATCGTCGAGACGTTCTGTTCGGCTAAACATACGTTTTTTTTTGTGCGTAAGATCTAGGCGTACAGGGAAGTTGAATCTAAAGTTTTCGAAGTCGCACATGGACAGGAAATATTTTCTTGAAATTTCGACATCCTGCCTGATCTTTTTTCGGAGTTGGGAGATTGTTGGCCAAAATACGCGCGTTCACAGGTGAAATATGAGCGCATTTGGAATCTGAATCCAAACTTTTAGGCGTCGCACAGAGGCTCGTAA